GTTGGAGTCCTACTCTCAGAGAATTAAAATAAAATTTTTTAGCAGTATGAAAACTGTGCAAGATATAGAACCTTCGTTTTGTTGAGCTCATTCCTGACCTCTATCCACTGAGTACCAGTAGCACCCTCCTCCCACTTGTTATGACAGACAAGAATCTGTGCGTGTTTTGTAACAGTACTGTCAAAAGGACAGTTACATCCCTTAGCTTCCACATATAAAAATGGGTAAAGTGGATATATCTACCGTCAATCTCATAAGGATTAAAGGAGATAATACTCATAAAATATTAGTATTGGGGTCTGGCCTACTATAAGAATCCAATAACAGATGGTGACTTGTTAGCAATTGAAAATATGGGTCTAGTCATAAATAGGAGAGACTCTGTTAGGACTCGAGATAAGGCTTGGGAGTCATGTAGACAAGTTGATTTAAACATTGTAAAATGCCAGACAGAAACGAAATAAGATTCAGTTTAAGAGGGTTAAATGTAGGATCCCATGGCTTTTTCCTACAATCTGTTAATAAGTCAAGGCTGAAGAGATATGGCTAGTATGGCTAGACCACAGTTCATAAGAAAAAGGCAGGCAAGCCAAGATTAGCCATGGTATAATTCAGTTGCTTAAACTGTCTGATGGTACATGAATGGTATAATGTCCGGGTCATGGAATGCTGCAGTCCCATAGACAGGGTTTCTTTTTCTTTTTTTTTTTTTTTAACTTTTTTTTTTTAATATTGGATATTTTATTTCTTCTTTTTAAGTCTTTTTATTTATTTATTTGAGAGAGTGAGAATGAGAAAGAGAGAGAGAGCACATGACATGATAGGGGGAAGGGTCAGAGGGAGAAGCAGACTCCCCGCTGAGCAGGGAGCCTGATGTGGGACTCGATCCCGGGACTCCAGGATCATGACCTGAGCCGAAGGCAGTCGCTTAACCAACTGAGCCACCCAGGCGCCCCTAGACAGGGTTTCATGTAGGCTGTGTCTAAGGTTGGGGAGTCAGGCTTAAGAGAGCTGTTGACAAAGATAGTTGAGAAGATAGCAACTGGAGGGAAAAGTTAATGCTACTGAGTTTAGGTATAAAAAAAAGAAAAGGCATGACAGTTTTTCAGATAATTTAAAGACAGCAATTTGTGGCAGAAGAGAAAGTAAACTTGTCTGTAGAAAGCAAATCTACAACCTTCTGTGAGTTACACGAAAGCAAATAGTTTGTAGTGAGCAGTTGTTAAAAAACATTCAGCCAAGTAAATTCGAAGACCTGATTGGCTTTATTAAACAAATCAGGCAGCATCCCATCTAGCAAGTGGAGGAGAGCTACAAAATGGAAGGTTTTTATAGGAAGAAGTCTGGGGCAAGAAGTTATTAGCAAAGGTAAAAAAAGGATTGATTCAGGTAAGATCACCTTCCCTTAGTGGAAAGGGCATCCCCATTTTATCAAGCATATTACCTCAGCTTCCTTCGGGCGTGGGGGTGGGGATGGAGAAGGAGACGGCTCATGTGACAGATTACCTCATTGGTGCTGACCAGAAAATTCCTGACCCACTAGTTAAGACTGTGTTTCTGGGAGAGGTTGAACTGCAATTAAGTTAAATATTAAGCCCTAGTTTGGTGACATGGCCTAGCATAAGTGACTCCATCCTTGGTCTCCAGTTTTCTTTTTAACACAGTCAACCAGACACTTGATTGTTCTTTTCAGCAATGGTGTCAAATAGAATTTTATAGATATAGATGATTTCTAGACTTTTCCAATTGTTGAGGTGGGTGTGGGAATAGACTCTAGGGTAGATCACCCTACCAATCACCTATATTAATTTCAGTGTTCCCAGCAAGACTCAAGGTAGATTCCTTCTGCGCCCACTTTGATTTCAGACATTTGACTCTCTCTAAGTAGCTAAACACAATTGACAAGAAAGCCTCAACTCTCAAGAGGCTGGGGGTGGGGTGAGTAGGGGCACAAAATAGGTACACTAAATGCTATTTTCTGACAAATTTCCTTTTTTTCAGCCTTTGGTTTTCCCAACCAATTTGCAGCTGAATTTTAGGTAGTTTAGGTCACCCTGATCTAATCATTCCAAAATAATTTTTCCTTTTTTGTCATTGCTGTCGGGAAAGCCTCTTGTTTCTCATATAACCCTATCCCGCATAGGAAAATCTTCCTTCTGTGATTCTTTTTAAGCAGTGCTCTAGAACAGAGTTTCTCACATGGGGCCAGTCCATTGACTCCCTCGGTTTATGTGAAATTGTGTATATGTGTCCATTTCTCTGAGGAGAGGGGTGTTGGCACTCATTAGATTCCTAAAGGAGTCTAAGAATCACTTACACAAGCCTCTTTGGTAAGGCAAATCTCTGTTTTTTGTTACTACATTTCATGTCTTTCAGCTGCCTTTAGTTAAATTCCAAACTGAGGTGTGGTGGGTTGTTCAACAAGGGCCAGAATTAATTGGAAGCCTCTTCCAAGTTCCCTGCTTGGACCAAGAGCCTTTCATTAGTGATTGTAGAGCACCTTCTGCTCACTTCTGTCAGAGCACTTGCCACATGACGTGAGTTGATTTATGGGACCGTCTTCTATATTAGATTTGAAGGGTAGCCCTGTGTTGTGTTAGTTTTTGTATTCTGAACACTGAGCATCATACCAAGACCAGAACCATTTACCCATAATAAGCCAACAGATTCTTCTTTCTGTCCCAAGTAACAAATATTTGAAGCACTTACTCTGAGCCAGGTATTATGTTAGGCATTGGGAATACAGAGGTAAGCTCCCTCCATGGAGCTTATGGGCTATATCCAGAGGGACATGATCTTTGCCACTCCTTGGAGCAGCTGTGTGTGAGCCATGTGCGAATGCATTTACAATAGCCCAGACTTTACAAAAACTCCCCCTTTGTAACAGACATTAGTTTTATGCACATAGTCCATGACTTTCAATACTCAAAACAAAAATGAAAATGCTTTTTCTAGTCTTCTTCAAAACCACCCATTAAATGTCTCTCCAAAATCCTCTTTCTTTTTGACTACAGGTGTTAATGGTTTGTCTCTAAAAATAGAGAATGTAGATGGAAGATACTTATAAAAGAAGCGTCAGCATTTATGCCCAGGTTCTGCACATAGAAGTGTTTTTTGTTTGTTTTATTTTTTAAAACTCAATAGGAAAAATTCATGATTTAAAAAAACAAATAGGGACCCCTGGGTGGCTCAGTTGGTTAAGTGTCTGCCTTCAGCTCAGGTCATGATCCCAGGGTCCTGGGATGGAGTCCTGCATCAGCATGGAGTCAGTTTCTCCCTCTGCCCCCCCCCCAATCCTGCTCATGTTCTCTCTCAATTGAATAAAATCCTTAAAAAAAAAAAAAAAGAAAAGAAATAGAGGGGCACGTGGCTGGCTTAGTCAGAGGAGCAATGACTCTTGATCTTGGGGTCATGAGTTCAAGCCCCACATTTGGTGTAGAGATTACTTAAAGAAATAAAACTTAAAAAAAAAAAAACAGAAATAGAGGCAAACTTTTGTGTCTGGTTCACTAGTATGTTCTTTTTCTTTTCTAGCTTATACATACTGTAATTTATGGATTTGAGTTTATGTCACACTACATTTATAGTTTTCCAATTTTTCTTTAAAAGCAGGAAGCCTGGGCACCTGGGTGGCTCTGTCGGTGAAGTGTCTGCCTTCAGCTCAGGTCATGATCCCAGGGTCCTGGGATCGAGCCCTATATTGGGCTCCTTGCTCAGCATGGAGTCTGCTTCTCTCTCTCCCACTGCCTCTCCCCCTCCCCCGGCTCGTGCTCTCTTTCTTTCTCTCTCTCAAATGAATAAATAAAATCTTCAAAAAAAAAAAGAAAAACAGGAAGCCCCTTATTCTAAGCTAAACAAGAGCAGAACAGTTTGTTGAAAAAGCAAGAGGCTTTGCTGCTACCCCCTGGCCCCTAAGGGGATGCCAGGGATCCTGGTTTGAGAACTGCTGGACTAGATGGTATTTATGGGTCAGTAGTTGACAAGGGCATGATTTGTCCACAGAACCAGGCATAAGGAGAGCCAAGTCAAGAGTGCTGTGCTGTCTCTGTTTTAAAGTTCATTTCACTTAGGGAGTTCATGACTTTGGGGAGCATAGCAAAAGTCATGTATGGATATGTATTTCAGTACTGTATGTATGCAGTCCCTACCTGGAGGCTCTGATTTAGTAGGTATGAAATAAGGCTCCAGCATCTATAGTTTTAAATAACTCCATTAACGTAGGAGAAGGCTTTTTTAATGTCACTAGAGTGTAAAAAGTTAATGCACTAGTTATACCTAGAAATATCTGCACTGCTTAGAGAAGATATGGCTTTCTGGCTTCCTGAGTTGAGCATTTTTATTTTTATATTTTCTTACAGCTTTTTAGGTTTTTATTTAAATTTTAGTTGACATACGGTATGTCAACCGTATGTCAACTAACTGTATGTCAACTAACTGTATGTCAACTATGTATTATTTTCAAGTGTACAATATAGTGATTCAGTAATTCCATATATCACCGATGCTCATGCAAGTGCATTCCTTAATGAGTTACATTTTAACTTTTAGAATACATGACATAACATTCTACTCCTGTCATCAGAGACTTTTTAAAAAACTTCTGTTTCCATTTCACTACAGTTCCTGCTACCTGAGTGAAACACTCTTCCTCTAAATATATGCATAATTACGTCTGTTTATTTTCTCCTTCCAAACTCTAAAATGTAAGCTTCGCTTGGGTGGACATATTTGTCTTTCTTATTCACTGATTCATCACAGGCTTCTAAAACAGTCAGTAAATATTTGTTGAATAACTACTAATAGTGAGGTATGTCAGGTGTGTTATTGGTTTAAAAGATTTCTTGGATTGCTCTGGAAGCCTAACTTCCTCCACCTGTAGCATTTTCTATAAAAGAATATTCCAAGTACCGAAAACCAGATGTGCAAGTGAAAATGTGTAACCCTACCATACAGCATATTTGGTTGGTTCTTGACAGACCGTAACTTTATTTTCAAAACAGGATGTGATATGGTCTGACTTCGGGTTTCCTGGAAGAAATGGACGGGAAAGTACGTTGTGGATCGGCTCCATGGGGGCCCATACACCCTGTCATCTGGACTCCTATGGTTGCAACTTAGTATTCCAGGTACAAGGAAGGTAATGCACAGGTGCATGCCTGAGAGAGAGAGAGTGTGTGTGTGTTGCACAGGAAGAGGAATGAGGATCAGGCAGGTGGCCCCCAAGGTTTAGTCCCAGCTCTACCCTGTCAGCCTGTCTCATGACCAAGACCAATCTGTTAACCCCTGGTTCAGTTTCCTCCTTTTTGAAGTAAGGGGAACAGTTCAAATGATGGTTTCCATGTGTATCTCTCACTCATGATCAGGATTACCTTCAGAAACTTGATCCTAGAGCTCCAGGATTCCACTTCCAGTTCAGCTAGACAGTTGTCTGCTTAGCTCTGTTATGTAAGAGTCTGCATTTGTAGTTTTCAAAATTCTGTTTAAAAGCAGGAAGACCCTTTCTTCAAATCTAAATAAACAAGAGTGGAGCAGTTTGTTGGAAGAAAGAGGCTTTGCGGCTACCTTCGGGCCCCTGAGGAAATGCCAGGGGTCTGGTTTGGGAACCACTGAATGAGATGGTATTTATGGCCACTTTCAAGTCTAAATTTTAGTCTGTGTCTACATGTAGACACAATGCAGTATTTTATTACTTTAGATAAGTTCTTCTCCATCTGTCTGTGGACCCTAAGATATATAAGGGTAAGTCAGGCAATACTTTGATAGTCCCTGGTTCCAGGATTTCCATGAGAGTTTACATGTTCCTGCTAGTTGGAGGATGTACTCAGAATGTTATATGTGTAGCCTTATTTTCTTCCAGTTAGTGATGCTTGAGTCTCCTTTCCTGGCCTTTTGGAACATTTATAGGACAGTACAGAGGGAAAAGCAGAAATGGCCATTTCCTAGTTCTCAGACCCTTTAGACATGACAAGGATTATGAGTGGATCCAAAAGAAACAGTGAATAAGCATGTGAATAGATTTCACAGGTGAAGTATTTTGAGAACTATAAAATGGTATAAGACAGTCCACTTCTGGATTCATTAAGTCCTTATTAAAGGGTCTAGGACGTTTCAGGTGCATTATTATGTGTTGTGGATGCCACAGTGAATCAAGTGTCCATGGTCCTTGCCCTTAGGGAGTTAATAGTCTGAATCTTAAACTTGGTAAGAGAGGTATCTTTGTAAGGAGCTGTTTTCCATGTGTTCTGAATTGGGCAAGAAATTCAGTTGGGTAAACATTACCAAAAAATACCTGGGTTCTTTCTATGACATAAAATTAATGTAGCTTTATTTTAACTTTGTAGTAGAGCATATTTTCTGGTCTCATAAAGCTCTGGAATAGTAAAATATCTATTCAGTAAATACTCATGGAGTAGGTACCCTGTGTTAGAGGAGGAGTGGAGGTGAATGAGTAGGACATATCTCTGCCCTGAGAGAGTTTATAGTTAGAGTCCAGGCAAGCCCACAGGCAGTGTGATAGAAGGCAGAATGAGCATGTTCTTGAGGAAGGTTTCATTAGAGCTGTGGAACTGAAAAGTAGGAGAGATACCGTCTCCGCTAGAAAGATTAAGATTTCAGAGAGGAGCTGCCATTTGTGATGGGCTTTGAAGGATGGGTGAAGGATGGGTCCCAAGACATGGGTGGGAGGAGCAGAGGGATCAGCATGAGCAGAGCCCTAGGAAAGCATGTGGTGTATAGAGAAAGAACCCTGTGAATCGTCCAGTGTAAGCTGTGCATTGCAAACAAAGGGATTAGGCAGGGAAGAGAGGTTGGAGCCAGAAGTTTACTTTCAGGCAAATAACCTCTTATTCTCTTTCAGCATGCAGGACAGTGAAATGTTTTTTGATTAGGGGATGACAGACCACCTTTTCTGATTAATAAGAGAAGGATGCATATGCTGTTGACCCTTGAGTAATGAGGGGATTAGGGGTACTGAGCCCCACACCGTTGAAAGTCTCCATATAACGTTTGGCTCCGTAAAAACTTAACCACTAATAGCCAACTGTTGACTGGAAGCCTTACCAATAACATAAATAGTTGATTAACACATATTTTATATGTTATATGTATTATATACCATATTCTTACAGTAAAGTAAGCCAGAGGCTTCTAGGTAGTGTAGTCGGTTGAGCATCTGACTCTTAGTTTTGGCTTGGGTCATGGTCTCAGGGTCGTGGAATCCAGCCCTGCATCAGACTCAGTGCTCAGCCTGGAGTCTGCTTGAGATTCTTTCCCTCTCCCTCTCCTTTTGCCCCTCCCCCTGCTCACATGCCCACTCACTCTGTCTCTCAAATAAGTAAATAAAATCCTAAAAAAAATAAAGGAAGCTAGAGAAAAGAAAATGTTACTAAGAAAATCATAAGGAAGAGTAAATACATTGACAGTACTGTACCGTACTGGAAAAAACATCTGCACATACGTGGACCCGTGCCGTTCAAACCCCATGTTGTTGAAGGGTCGACTGTATGTTACATTTTAAGTGGAGCAAAACAAATTGTATGGGATTGTTATCTTTATGGCTATTCCTGTAGGAACGCAGCCATGAGGCAGAGGTAGGAGCTGGCACCTGAAGAGGTCAGCCGCTCTGTGACCTACTTCTGGGTCCACCGCTAATCACTAACTAGTCCAGGGAATGACACTGAACCAGCACTCGGTCCCTTTTCCACTACTTTTAAAGTAAAATTAGACTGATGATCTCTTAAGAGTTCTTCCAGCTCTACATTCTAAACATAGTAAATGCCAAGAATTCTCCCAAACTTGTCATAGCTATGGTGGAATGGAGCAGCTCTATCTCTAAGGCAAAATAAGACTTTAGTATCTACTTCTTAGTTTTAAAATAGCAGCCAACTGAAAGGCACATAGTGGTCCCACTGTAACTGCAAGGGGTCACTAGAGAGCTTTAAGGCTTTCCTCAGAACTAGTTCTCTCCCTGTCCCTGTCCCTGCCCCTGTACCTCTCTCTCTCTCTGCTTCCCCATTGTTTATTTTTGTCTGTGTGTCTTCCTCTTTCAAACACTTCTCCCTTCTTTGCCTCAGATGTCCCCCCTCTATTGACTTGAAGTATGGCTGTGTTCTGGTGTCTTGTGATTTAAGATTTATCACCTCCATTTTTCAAAGTTTTAAGTGACTGAAACATTTTATAGTTTTCTCTTTTTGAAAATTCTAATATTATACCACTTTTTAGTTGGGTGGCATCATTTGTGCATTTCTCTTGCTTATGGATTGACTTAACACAGGTTTGACTTAAGGAATTTACAACCCAAACTGGGAGAAGTTTGGAAACTATTTGGTGGATAGCAGTATGGGTGGCTTCCCTGTAGAAGATAAGAATCCAGATATTTGAAAGGGAGGGATTATTCAGGTATCTCTAGAATCAGGGACAGAATCGACTTAGGAGGAGGTAGACTTTGATTTGAGATAAGAAAGAATGATCTGAAGGGGCACCTGCACCCCAGTGTTTATAGCAGAGTGTCTACAATAGCCAAACTACGGAAGGAGCCCAGATGTCCATCGACAGTTGAATGGATAAAGATGTGGTAGATATATACAATGGAATATTACTTAGCCATCAAAGAAAATGAAATCTTGCCATTTGCAACGATGTGGATGAAATTAGAGGGTATTATGGTAAGCAAAGTAAGTCAGTCAGAGAAAGATAATTATCATATGATCTCTCTGATACATGGAATTTAAGAAACAAAACAGAGGATCATAGGGGAAGAAGGGAAAAATAAAACGAAATTAGAGAGGGAGACAAAACTCTTAACCATAGAAAACAAACTGAGGGTTTCTGGAGGAGAGGTGGGTGGGGGGTTGGGGTAACTGGGTGATGGGCATTAAGGAGGACATGTGATATAATGAGCACTGGGTGTTATATGCAACAGATGAATAACTGTACATTAGAAACTAATGATACACTATATGTTAACTAACTGAATTTAAATAAAATAAGTTAAAAAAAAAAAAGAATGATCTTACAAATTAGATCCTGTCCCAGCTTCAGGGCATCAGGAGATATCCACTGGCTGCTGCCTTATCTCCACCAGGTGTCTGCATAGGAGATTCCACTACTGAGAGATGGGCCAGATGACCACTGAGATTGCTCCTGTATTCCTTTATGGATTGAATGAAAATGAAGACTTAGCTGCTGCCTTCTTAGATGTTTTGTCTCAAGTTCAGAGTACTAACTTGTATCTTATTTTTTTAATTAGGAAAAGATGGCATCTCTTTCCTCCCGAAGACACTCCTTTCCTTTATCCGACAAGAATCCCTTATGAAGAATCTAGTGTGTTCAGTAAAATCAATGTTGTCAATCCTGATTTAAAACGTTTTCCTCAGTTCTGCAAAGCTCGAAGACATATGGTTACACTAAACCCAGGACAGGTAATGGGCGCCTTAAAACATTGATGACCTGTCAGTCCGTGCCCCAGCTATAAATTCTTTCATGTCCTTATACCACACACCTCCCCACCAATACAAATGAGAGTGATTTTCTTCCCTGCTGCTCTCTGCTGTTAGAAGGCTTCAGATGCAAACTTCTCAGCTTCACAGGTCATGGAACTATGGGAAGAGGGAATATAGCTCTTTCTACTGGTGAAGAGGAGAATGACTTTGGAGGAAAACAAGAACTCAGTCATTTTTTTAAAAAAGATTTTATTTATTTGAGAGAGAGTGCTAGAGAGCATGAGCCGGTGGGGGGCAGCGGCAGGGGGAGGGAGACAAGCAGACTCCCCACTGAGCAGGGAGCCCAGACACGGCCAGATCCCAGGACCCTGAAATCATGACCCGAGCCAAAGACAGATGCTTAACTGACTAAGCCACCCAGGTGCCCCGCACAGTCAATTTTTAGTAAGGTTAAGAGAAAGTGTCAAGGCATGGGTACTTGAGCACCTCTGGAACATCTATTCACATTAATACCTTTTCAACTATACTAGAACCCAGACACGTAAATGCAGGTGGGAACGCATCCCGGTGGTGGGACGACAAAGGCAGAATGAACTGAGAATGATTTGCTCTAAGCAAGCGTGGATGTTCCTTTTATAAAGGATTGTCTCTGAAACAGTTCCAACTGTCCAGTGGAGAAAATCACCTCTACAACATTGGCATTTGCTGTCTGATATTTTATTAACAATATGAAAGGTTTTCTTAGTCTCTTAAGGAGATTTTATTCCCTCAGTCATTCCTCTCCCTCTGCCTGTTTTCCTTCCCTTTCACTGGCCCTTTTCTTGCTTCCTTCACATGTGAGTACTCCAACTCAAATAATTTGACTTGAGCAACTTGCTTCAACCTGTTAGCTGCCACTCCCCAGGCACCTGTCCCCCAGCCTCTGACAAGCCCTCATCTATTTTATATCTCTGTAGATTTACCTAATCCGAACATTTCACTTACGTTCAGTCATACAAGTGGCCTTCTGCGTCCGTCTTCTTTCACATACCATAATGCTGCAGAACGTTATCAGGACTTCATTCCTTTTTATGGCTGAATGTATTTCATTGTTATGCATATACATTTTGCTTATCCATTCATCAGTTGATAGGCATTTGGGTTGTTTCCACCTTTTGGCTATTATGAAGAATGTTGCCATAGATAGTGGAGTACCAGTTTTTGGGTGAAGGTATGTTTTCAGTTCCCTTGGTTATATACCTAGGAGTGAAATTGCTGGGTCCTGTGGTCACTCTTTGTTTAACTTTTTGAGGAATTGCCCAGCTGTTTTCCATAACAGCTACGCCATTTTACATTCCCACGAAGGAATGTGTGAAGGTTCTGATTTCTTCACCTCTTCACCAACACTTGTTATTTTCCATTATTCCTATTATTATCATAGCCATCCTAGTGGGTGTGACATGCTTGGTAATTCATTTTTTCTTCTATTTTAATAGCCAGATTTGAATATGTGGTTCTGTCTGTTGTATCACTGTTCCTTACGTGCTGCTCGTTCTTTAATCTACCAACAGCTGGCTCCCTCTCCTGCCACTGTACTGAAAGTATCATCTGATGGGACATATATGAACTCCCAATGACTAAATGCAGTAGCCCTTCTTAGGGCTCAGTTCTCCTAAAAGGTGCTCTATTCCCAACTCCTAGCTCCCCCTTGCTCATAGCAAGTGCCACCCATTTTCTAAATCTGAGGCCCCAAAGCTTTGGATCATCCCATCTGCTCTGCTCAAACTTCCATAGGTACTAATCTCATACTGAGTCTGGACAATTGCAGTCCTTCTTGACTCTGGCTGTTGGCTTTTGTTTATTATACCTTCCTGTTTAGATCTTAACATTTAATAGCTGGACCATTATAAGGATCTCCTGTCCTTCCCAGACTCTCCCATAATGTTGCTATTTTAACCGTCCCCTACTAAAAATTTCTTAGCGAGGCACCTGGGTCATTCAGTCAGTGAAGCATCTGACTCTTGATTTCAGCTCAGGTCGTGAGCTCAGTGTTGTGAGACTGAGCCTTGCATCAGGCTTCACGCTGAGCATGGAGCCTGCTTAAGAGTCTCTCTCTCCCTCTCCCTCTGCCTGCCCCCCCACTCCCTCTCAAAAAAAAAAAAAATTCTTAGCAACTCCTTAATGCTTACAACTCATTAATGCTTAATGCTTAATGCTCCTTAATGCTTAGCAACTCCGTAAGCATTAATGATTTTATCTTTTCATTTCTGCCAGGAAATGAAGAAGGCCTTTTCCCTGCAATATGCTCTGTGTAATCCCGGTTGCCTGCTCTACTTGACAACTAACATGGCTGCCCAGTGAGGCTCAACCCGGGCTTTCATTGCACCTGTGCCTCTTTAACCAGAGGCTTTGATGGCAGAGGCTTTGATGGCATCTCTGCTGTCCTGTACCTTAATGCAGATTCTTTATTCTGAATTCATGGCCCTCCACTGGCCCTAACCAACTCTCCCACCTTATCTCCCGTTACCCCATCTGCAACAGTAGGACCTACCTACTTGCTGTCCCTCAACAGTCCCACCGCCCTTGCTGGCACTACCTCTCCCTCCTGGCATGTCCTCATTCTTTGCTCTGTCTACATTCTCTCCTAACCCTGGGTCAGACCACACTTCATCCATACCAGGCTTCCGCTGCCCTCCCTGGTTCATGCCTGTGTCTCCCACCTCTGAGGTTCCCTAGCACCAGTGTCTGCTCCTTTGAGTCACCACTTACCCGATGCCCCCTTTCTATGTACTGTTTCTTCACTGGCTCAATTTTACACTGTGAGAAGACAAACTACTTCCTCTGGTTTTACCTATGCCCTTTCTCAGAATGCATACAACTATTTTTCAGTGGAAAGGAGAAAAAAATTAGAATCTCAGAGTCCTAAACCTCAGATTTAGATGCAGGCAGAGCAGGTCCAGGATTAAGGAGAGTAGAAGTTGGAGAAGCTGGTGATATCCTTTGTGGAGCATGTGAACTTGTTGGATAAAAAAAAGAAAGGGATTGTGAGTTTTGTTTTGTTTTTTCTTGTTTCCCTTTCCAATAGCAATATTGCTATAAATTCATATGTATTCCTAGCATTTTCGATTAGAGTCCAATGTGCTATTCTTTTGCTAACTTACTTCTTGTTTGCTTTTCAGGTTCTTTTTGTTCCCAGACACTGGTGGCATTACGTAGAATCCATTGATCCTGTCACTGTCAGTATAAACTCATGGATTGAGCTGGTACTTTTTTTTTTAATAAATGTAATCCCTGCTTTTAAGATATATATAGCCTGTCTATAAAACTTGTGATTAATTTTAACTAATACTCCAGTACTACTTTGGTTTGATATGTTATAATTTATATATTCAGTACTCTGTTAATGGGTGTTTAGGTTGGAATTAGGATTTTCAGTGATGCACCATTCTCTTTCCTTTAATGGCACACCGTGGGCCCTGTTGTTGGTCCCTTAGCTGGTATTGTTAAGAGAACGGTGTCGGGCCTGTCTGGATCTGCCGTGTATGTCCCACGTTGCCAGTCCTGTCCACGCCCAGATGGGCTAGAGATTCACTGCTTCTTGGTTCAGGGCCCTTATTACTAATTACACAATTCTCAGTCCTGCCTTCTACCTTTTCTCAAAGTAGAGTCTTTGAGTGCTAGAATTTTATCATTTCATTTCTGCCAGGAAATGAAGAAGGCCTTTTCCCTGCAATATGCTCTGTGTAATCCCGGTTGCCTGCTCTACTTGACAACTAACATGGCTGCCCAGTGAGGCTCAACCCGGGCTTTCATTGCACCTGTGCCTCTTTAACCAGAGGCTTTGATGGCAGAGGCTTTGATGGCATCTCTGCTGTCCTGTACCCAAAGCCTGATTGCATCTCTCCTCTCCCTTTGGCTGCTGCTTCCTCCCCTCGGGCTTTCCTTACCCTTTGGTAATGGGGAGGGCTTTGGCATAGGTGGACCATCAGGGAGACTGTAACAGGAAGCTGCACTATCTGGGCTTCAAGAAGACGTGTAGCCCTTGGGGATTAGGTGAGTGGTATGGCTGGAGATCAGTGGACTCAGTTACTCAGTTACTTAGCTACTGGTAGCATGCTGAATTGTAGTTGGAGCAAATGTCAAGATACAGTCCAGTCCCAGTCCAAAGTCATGTCTACGGTAGTCCTGACGGTGCTTCGCTTCTCAAGGTAGCTCTTCTCATTGTTACACAGTGGAGCTATCACCTGCCTGCTTGTAACTGTACCCATTATTTGTGAAACTATACTGAATTTTTTTTTTCTAATATTTGACGATACCTTCTATGTGTCCCTTTAAACTTTTCTTTCCCAGGCTCAAAACTTCTGGTTTTTCTTCTTCCTTTTTTTTTTTTAAGATTTTATTTATCTGACAGAGAGACACAGCGAGAGAGGGAACACAAGCAGGGGGCGTGGGAGAGGGAGAAGCAGGCTTCCCGCGGAGCAGGGAACACGATGCGGGGCTTGATCCCAGGACTCTGGGATCATGACCTGAGCCGAAGGCAGATGCTTAACGACTGAGCCACCCAGGTGCCCCACCTCTGGTTTCCTCAATGATGTTTTTTTTATATGACTTTTTTTTTTTCAGACTCTTCACCATTTTGATCATAGACTTTGGAACTATATAGGTTTAAGTTATAGGTCTGTGCCTTTGTTAGCTGTCAAACCTGGATGGTCAGTTCATCTCATCAAGCCTAGGTCTCCTCACTTGCAGAATAGGGATTATAACTGCACCCACTCCAGTGGCATCTCATCTAGTGCCTGGCACACGAGAAGTGTTTAAAGGCAGAAACTGCTCTGAGGAGGAAGAACTATTATGTCAGGAGTAACCCTCTTGTATCATATGATCTCACTGATATGAGGAATTCTTAATCTCAGGAAACAAACTGAGAGTTGCTGGAGTGGTGGGGGGTAGGAGGGATGGGGTGGCTGGGTGATAGACATTGGGGAGGGTATGTGCTATGGTGAGCGCTGTGAATTGTGTAAGACTGATGAATCACAGACATGTACCTCTGAAACAAATAATACATTATATGTTAAAAAAAAAAAAGAAGAAGATAGTAGGAAGGGAAAAATGAAGAGGGGGAACTTGGAGAGGGAGATGAACCATGAAAGACTGTGGACTCTGAGAAACAAACTGAGGGTTCTAGAGGGGCGAGGGGTGGGGGGATGGGTTAGCCTGGTGATGGATATTAAAGAGGGCACATACTGAAGGGAGCACTGGGTGTTATACTCAAACAATGAATCATGGAACACTACATCAAAAAAAAAAAAAAGTAGCCCTCTTAATGTATAAATACCAGGAGGCCTCAGTTCATGGAATATAAAGTTTCTACCTCACATGATTTAGATCCTCAATTTCTTCAGTGCTGCTTAGAATATTGCATTAGCTTTTTTAGGAACCTTATCTTGCTTTGGTTTATACTCATCTCGAGAATATCCTTGCTTTTTTCCACATGGTCAGCTGCCACGTCAGGTTGCCCTCCATTGTGAAGCTGTAAAGCTGGTCCTTTAAACCCACATCCCACACTTCACAGTCCCCTCTCTTGGCTTTCATCATGTTCATTGGGGTGAGCATTCCAGCTTACCAAGGTCATTTTGAATTTGATTCTCTTCTGTTTTTAGTAAACTCCTTCAAGCGAGCGTGTGCCCTTTTGATATGTCCTCATTTGTCTTGGAATGTAATGTATCCTTGCTTTCTAGTACAAGATGATACCCCAGGATTGCCTTGGACTTTCCCTGCTTCCAACTTGGAGGTTGATAATTTCTGCAGGTGGTCATGGTTCCTTTTAGTGGGGAAGGGTATTTAGAAACTGAGATTGGGGCTCTAAGGCTGTTGTTCATTGCTATTGGCATGTTGCTGTTTCCAGACCTATAAATGATAAAGCTAGAATGTGAGATAGATAGATAGAAATGGATATATTTATAGTTCTAATTCAAGGTTAATATTATAGATTTTTTCCTTGTTTCTGTATTTTTATTTTTATTTATTTTATTATTTTTATCTCTTCTCTTACACTGAAAATCAGGATCAATCCTAACAGTAACATCTACTTATTTGCTATATTCTCCTATATATATATATATACATATATACATATATGTATATATATAGGAGAATATAGCAATATATATAAATATTTAAATATTTAATATTAATATTAATTATTTTTAAAAATTTATTTTCTTTAAATAAATAAAATTTGTCTCTTTAAAATTAATTATTTAATTATTAATATTAATTAACAATTAATATTAATGTTAAATATTATAAATAAATAATATATATATATTTTGGAGGGGAGGGCAGAGAGAGAGAATCTTAAGCAGGCTCCATGCCCAGGGCAGAGCCTGATGCGGGTCTCAGTCTCACAACCCTGAGATAGTGACCTGAGCCGAAATCAAGAGTCCGACACTTAAGTGACTGAGCCACCCAGGTGCCCCACCTATATATTTTTTAAGATGTCAAATTTACAATTCCAGAATTCCAATATTATTATTACTAATTATAAACTTGCAAATAAAGTTTAAGATTTCTTTGTGATCCTTTTTATCGTTAGACTATATCCCGCTAAGGGGCTACAAAGTACTGTGTTCAGAAATCATTGTGAAGGGATTCTTTTCACTTGTGGGTATGTTACTAATTTTAGGTAGGTTTGTTTTCAGCATTAGGATTTACTTTTTTTCCTATTTTGACTTCATTTAATATTTTGAATATGTAAAACATTTAACTTGTTAAAATGATATTAAAAGTCTCTTTTATAGAGAAGTCTCCTTTTCATCTCTGTCTCCTCCACTCCATCACTCTCCCCCCCCCCCCCCCCCCCCCACCCCCTACTACCCCACCACAGGGCTCTGTTTTTATTCATTTAGTTTGTCATTCTAGTGTGTCTTCTTTGTAAACATATATGTAAATAATTAAGTAAATAAATATATGTATGACTTTATATGTGAATAAGAATATAAACTTTTATATATTTGTTTCATATGCTTGTTCATACATAGTCATTCATATTTCCTCTCCTTTCTTACACAGAAAGTAAGAAACTAGTGTTCTGCACCCTGCTTTCTTCACATTACAATACTATTCTGAATTTGACAAATAATAGTACAGAGAAATTTTCACTTTCTTTCCAACAGCTGTGTAGTATCCCACTATATGGATGCCCCATCCTTTATTCCCTGGTTCCCATGTGGATGGATGTAGCGTTATTTCTAATCTTTTGTAATTAGAAATAATGCCAGTGAATAACCTTGTGCATATGTTGTTCTGTATTTGCTGGAAGAGTGTCTTTGGGGAAAGTCTTAAAAGTGAGTTCGCTTTAATTTTGTTAGGCTTTGCCAAATTCCACTTCACAGTGATTGTGCCATTTTGCATTTCCATCAGTAGCATATGAGTGTGCTGCTTTCCTCCACAGCCTCACCACCAGGATGTGTTGTTGAACTTTTTAGCTTCTGATTTTAGAATCATAGCTAGAAAAACCTTTCCCTCTTTCAGATCATAAAGGAATTCACCAATGTTTTCTTTTAGTTTGGATTGTTTCATTTTTTTACGTTTGGGTCTCTCATCCATTTAGAGGTTTTTACTAGTGTATGGTGTAAGGTTGAGATCTATTTTTATTTTTACCCAATGACAATAGAATTGTCAGGGATATCATTTATTTTAAAGTCCGTCTTTTCTGTGGTGATTTGAAATACTGCCTTAATCATATACTAGATATCTATGTGTACTTGGGGTCTGTTTCTTCCACTGGCCTTTCTTCACATTCTTTCAATACTTCCACCCTGTTTTATTTAGAGAGGTCTTATAGAATGTTTTTAGTATCTGTAGGGCCAGAAACCTTTTCTTTTCCTGGCTCTTTTTGAATTTTTTTTTCTTTTTTGTATGATCTTTAGAATCAATTCGTCTAGCTTCAGGGGAAAAAAAGATTGATATTTTTTATTCTATTTATATTAAATTTTATATGAGCTGTATGGTGTTGAATTGTCCCATCCAGCAATGAGATACCTTTCTTTTCATCCAAGTCTAGTTCTTTGTTCCAGGAGTGTTTTAAAGTTTTCCTCACATTGGATTTGCACATTTCTTTTAAAGGTTTATTCCTGGGCATTTCATCTTTTTTGGCTGCTATGGTTAAGTGAGGTGGGTCTTCTCTTCCATTATAGCATCTGAGTGGATATTGTTTGTATATATGAAGGCTATTGATTTTTGTGTTAATTTGAATTATTTTCTCCAGTGTGGTGATTTTTTTATTGACTTTTCTTGGGTTTTCAGATTTCTCTCAGATTATCTGAAAATTAAGATACTTTTACCTCTTCCTTTCCAATTTGCTTTCCTGTGTCTTATTTTCCTTTGTCTAATTATACCTCTAGATCAATAATAAATAATAATGGAGATAGTGGGCATCCTTGTCTTTTTCTGATTTTAGAGAGAAATCTCTAGTGATTTTTCTTTTTTTTTTTTAAGATTTTATTTATTTATTTGACAGAGAGATAGAGAGCACAAATAGAGTGGCAGGCAAAGGGAGAGGGAGAAGCAGGCTCTGCGCTGAGCAGGGAGCCAGACATGGGCTGTCAGGGACCATGACCTGAGCCAAAGGCAGCCGCTTAACTGACTGAGCCACCCAGGTGCCCCTCTAGTGATTTTTCTTTAAGTAAAATGCTGGATTTGTGTATTTTATCATGTTAAGTATCTGTCAATTCATTACTTTTTTTGTTTTTTGGGTTTTTTTTTTTTTTTTATCCAGAAAAGGTGTCAAATTTTATTGAATGCCTTTTAAGCACTGATGGAAATGATCATATATAATATTCCTCTTTAGTAAATATCTGGTATTTGAGTAACTTAAATCAATGGATTGCCTAGTATTGATTGAACCATCCTTAATTTCTGGAACAAATCCCACTTGGTTGTGATGTATTATTTCTTAGTGTACTGTAGAATACCACTTGTTCATATTTTATTTAGATTTTAATTTACCTGGCCTCAAGAGTCTGAAAGCCTTCACTATGGTCTTTTTAGAAGCTTGTTTTATGCCATTTTTTTCAGCTGTCTCTCACAGAATTTTCCAAAGGATTGGTGTCATTGAGTAAAAACAAGTTATGAGGTAGTACTTATAAATTTGGTACCTAAGGACTTGATGCTGACTTAAAATGGATGATTTCTGTCCTTCGCCAAACCAGGACTCTTGTTCTTTAACTTCTGCATACGTCACAGTTTAAAGAGCATTCATTCTTCCTTGAAAAACTGGAATGCAGACTAGGAGCTGAGTAATTATATTTTCCCTGTCATGTGTTGCTTTTATCCTTGTCTCTTCAAGCACTGAACCATAATTTTTTCTTGTTGCCAAATGTAACTCCAAAACCCCTTAAGTTTTAAAATCTACCATATTTGGGGCACATGGGTGGCTCAGTCGTTAAGCATCTGCCTTCGGCTCAGGTCATGGTCCCAGGGTCCCGGGATCGAGCCCCGCATCGGGCTCCCTGCTCCGTGGGAAGCCTGCTTCTCCCTCTCCCACTCCCTCTGCTTATGTTCCGTCTCTCACTGTCTCTCTCTCTCTGTCAAATAAATAAAATCTTTAAAAAAATAAATAAAACCTACCATATTCGATACAATAACTCAATGTAAATCCTGATTCTGGTATTCTTGTCACAAGTCACATAGATTTGGGGAAAAAGTAGAAATTCTAGTTCTGTTCAGGTGGTGCAAATTTCATCTCTTCTCTGTTAAAGTGGTGCAGATTCTATTTTAACATATTCCAGAGGATAAAGTATATTCTCAATTCTTCTCAATTGTGCCTTTTTTAATCTTTTTCTTTTAATATTTCTCCTTATTCTTTTAGTACTGAAATATGTTTATTTTATTGGTATTTTTTCCAAACTTAAAAAAATTTTTTTGTTGGGCGCCTGGGTGGCTCAGTCGTTAAGCGTCTGCCTTCGGCTCAGGTCATGATCCCAGGTCCTGGGATGGAGCCCCGCATCGGGCTCCCTGCTCAGCGGGAAGCCTGCTTCTCCCTCTCCCACTCCCCCTGCTTGTGTTCCTGCTCTCGCTGTCTCTCTCTGTCAAATAAATAAATAAAATCTTTAAAAAAAATTTTTTTTTGTTAATTTTTAAAGGCTTTCCTCTTGCTCTAGTAATTTTTCCATTATTATGTTTTTCATTTTATTTATACCTATAAAATAATGTATATGTAACATATTTGTAGTAGTATAATTTTGCTCATTCCCCCCCCCCCCACTCCTTTCTGGATGAAGGGGAGTGGGAGGTACAGCCTTCCGGTTATGGAATGAATAAGTCACAGGGATGAAAGGTACAGCAGAGGGAATATAGTCAGTGGTATTGCAGGAATGTTGTGTGGTGACAGATGGGAGCTAAGCTTGTGAGCACAGCATAGTATATAGAGCTGTTGAATCCTGATGTCATACACCTGAAACAGATGGGACATTGTGCATTGATTATACTTCAATTAAAAAAAATTTCTTAGAGGTTTTGAGAGCTTCTAGGAATTTTACTTCTTTAAAATTTTACTAGCTTTAAACAGATGCAGCTTTTTAAAAGCCTGTTAAGCAAATGGACTAGAACTATTTTAAGATCCCAAATAAATGCATTTGAATACTCTGTGGAAAAACAATAAAGTGTACAGTTCAGAAATTATATGTATATTCAGGAATTATGCAATCATACTACAATCAATTTTAGAACATTTTCATCAACCTAAAAAAAAAACCCTTATATATGAGTAGTTGCTCCCCCATTTTCCTCTGTAGCCATAGACAATCACCAACCTATTTTCTGTCTCTATAGATTTGCCAGTTCTGGAATCATAGACTATGTGGCCAGCATCCTTCACTCAGCATTATATGTTTTCAGGATTCATCTATTGTAGCATATATCAGTACTTGATTCCTTTTTATGGCTGAATAATATTCCATTGAATGACTATACCACATTTTGTTTATCTACTCATCAGCCGGACATGTGGGTTGTGTCTACTTTTTGCAATTATGAATAATGCAATTAACATTCGTGTATAAGTTTTTATGTGAACATATGTTTTCATTTTCTCGTGTGTTCATCTAGGAGTGGAATTTCTGGATCCTATGGTATAATAATGGATCATAAAGACAGGCCAGTAGGCTGGAAACTCAGACAAGAGTTGAAGTTGCAGTGTGGAGTCTGAAATCTGTAGGATGCCTGGCAGACTAGAGACCCACTCACTCAGGACTTCTATTAGAATCTTGAGGTAGAATCCCTTCTGTAGGAAACCTTCGTTTTTGCTTTTAAGGCCTTCACCTGAGGTCCACCTACATCATTGAGGATAATCTCCTTTACTTAAAGTCAACTGATTGTAAAGGTTAATCACATCTACAAAGTGTTTTCACAGCAACATTTAGACTAGGGTTTGACCAAACAACTAACTTAACCAAGTTAACTAATAAAATTAACCATCACATATGGCAACTCTGTGTTTAGCCTTTTGAAGAATTGCCAGGCTGTTTCCAAAGCCATTTACATTCTCACCAGCAACGTGTGAATATTCTGACTTCTCCACATCCTCACCAACACTTTTATTGTCTTCTTTATGAGAGCCATACTGGTGTGAAGTGGTGTCTTATCATGGGGATTTCATTCATTTTCACTGTGGTATGATATTCTCTTGTATTAATGTACCCCAATTTATTGGTTCTTTGTTGATGGATGATTGAGTCGCTTCCAATTTTTTGCTTTTATAAATAGAATATTCTTATACAAAAGTGCAAGAGTTTCTCTAAAGAATATGTATTTCTCTGGGAGTAGAATTGCTGGTCTGTAGGATGTACAATACTCAAGTTTACAAGGTAACGCCAACATGTTTTCCAAATGGCCGTACCAGTTTGCACTCCCACCATCAGTGAGTCTGTCAGTGCACATTTCTCTACCACTTGGAATTATCAGTCTCTCTTTTGCCAATTTCATCAGTTTCTCGATTTGCAGTTCCCTGATTATTTATGAGGTTAAGCATAATTTCATATTTATTAGTCATGTGATTGCTCTTTTTTTGAAATGCATGTCTTCATGTCTTTTGCCCGTTTTAAAAAATTGGATTGTTTGTCTTATTGATGTGTGTAGATTCTTTCTATATCCTGGATATTAACCTTGTATCAGTTTTATGTGTTACAAAATTCTGGTTGGGTTTTTTCCTTTTGTTGCCTTTTGATGAACAGAAGTTGATTTTCATGTAATCTATTATTAATGCTCTAGTTTATGCTTATTGTTTCTTTAAAAAAAATATTTGGATTTTTAGCCATTTCATTCTTTTGGCCAAGCATGTTTATTATAATTTTTCTTCCATTCCTAAATTAGCTTATCAAATTCTATAGGTATTATTCCTCTGTATGTTGTGCTTTTTAAAAAAAATTTTAAACATGTCAACAAATGGAAAAGATTGGAAGAAACACCACAAGGTAGCTCATACTTAAGGCCTATGTCTTACAGACAGGATAAAATTTAAATGTGGTCGGTGAAATATTCATCTCTTCTAGATGAGAGGTGATAGTGAATATGTAAAAGTTGTGGTCTTCCAACAATATATTCATTCCTTCTCTAACAAAGCTTGTATTAATAAGAGAACAGGATACACAATTGATAGAGACTCTACTCTGTTTTAAGCCATGATATATAGTGACAAATGAAAACAATATGCTTTTTTAATCTTGACTCAGGAAGAGGACCACCAGGCCCGGGTAGAAGAGGCAATCACACGCATGCTTGTGTGTGCCCTGAAGACTGCAGAGGATCCACACAATACCAGAGCTTGGTTAAACCCAACCGAGGTGGGCCACTTCTGGTGTGCATCATGGCAGTTAGTTTCCTGTGATCAATCAACCCTGGCTGGAACATTCGTTTTCTAACTTATATAAGTGCATATATCCATTCTAAAGAGTTTTTCTTTCTTCTTAGGTTGAGGAAACATCCCATGAAGTCAATTGTCGCTACTTAAATAGAGCCGTTTCTGCCCTTTTTGATCATTACAGAACATCTAAGGTAGTAGAAATCCAAGCACTGAGAACAAACAGAGAGGACATGAAAAAGGAGGGATCAGATGTGCACAATCACATGGAGGTGGGACAAACAGGTGGCCAGGACTTACTCTTGGGAATGGGAAAACAGGAGGCAGCGAGTCCCTTTGGCCCTGATCTGGTTCCTGTAATACTGGGTTCTGAAGAACTACCCTCAGAGAGAGGAGGCATATTTGAAGGTGATGGTAAAGACTTTGTTGGCGAAGATGGAGAACACTCTGGAAAATTGCATTGTACCAAGAGGCAGCGAATGATGAGTAAAAGTGAGGATGCAATTGTGGAACAAATCTCTTCAAATAGTAGTATGGCTCCTTCTCAAACATTCATTTCTACAGATGACTTGCTAGACTGCTTGGTGAATCCACAAGTAACCAGGATAGTGGCACAACTTCTGATACAAGGAAGAAGTTTGTGGTTCTAAGGAAATGACTTTTAAAATAATACTTTAAAAATATTTTTTGAGTAGTATGATTATTAAATAAAAGATGGCAGAGCAAAAAGTTAATTTGCACGTGCTTATAAATGCCCTTGTTCTTACCTAAATGTGTTTCAGTTTCTTGCTACCTTCATTCATGAACATTACTCTTTGGCCAAACTGGCTCGCTCTTAGTTGTTAGGCCTTCTTTCTTCAGTGACTTTGCTTTTCCTCTCCCATCTGATCCTTTCAGCCTATCTCAAATGTAAGCCCCAGGTGTTCTCAACAGAAAGTAATCTCTTCAGCAGTCTCAAGCAGAGGTCGGCCTGACAGTGTGGCCTGCAAAGCTGGAAATACTATCTATCCCCTTATAGAGAAAGTTTGCCAACCCTTGGCCTAATGCATCCATTGGGTGGATTCTAGCCTTGAGCTGAAGTGACTGATTACACTTGTGACACCCGCAGAGTTCTGTCATCCAGAGCAGGATACCAGTCAGGAAAAAAGTAGGTGGGGGTCCAGTATAAGGTCTCCTTATGGAAGGAACTGAGACATCTAGGAACACTGGTCCTGGGAAGGAAAAGCACCGGATGTTACAGGCTCCTGCAACGGACTAAAGGTTTGGTCTAGTGAAATTGAGCCTACTCTCATTACATTTGCAAGAAGATCTGGGGATAATTATTACCATTACTGTCTAAGTAAGAATTTAAAATTAGAAAAGCATATGGATCTCGGAGTAACCATTTGTGAAACAAATACATAACAAAAGGTAAGAAAAGTAATCTTTTAAGATGAATTGACTACTGACTCCATCCTTGTCAGTCTTCAGACTCAGGGTATCAGTACATCCAAAGAAAATATATGCCTTCTAGCAGCGAGAGAGGTGTTATATGAACATGCCCAGGAAAAGAAGGGTCTGGAAGAAATCTGTAGCACTTACTGCCAGTTGACCACAATATACCTATTTATTTGATTTACCTATTTATTTGATTATTGTTTACCCCAACCAGAATGTGACTCCATGGGGGTATGGACTTTGCTTTGATTAGTATTGTGTTCGCAGAGCCTTGATCAGAGTTCCAGCATATGGTAGGGGCTTGTTAAATATTTGGCTGAGTGGATTATAAAAGGAAGAACTTGTTCGCAACGCTCCATCAAATACATTGGGGTAGAGGATGTTGTGGCCAAGGGTAAGGTGCCTGGTCCCCTTAGTAGGTAGATCTTTATTGCAGAAATAGACATATCTTTATCTTCAGATATCTTTTACATATGCTACTCCTTTGACTACTGTTTTTCAAATTGTAGGTTGTGACCCATTAGTAAGTCATAAAATCAATATAGTGGGTAAGACCAGCATTTTTAAAAAGTGAAATAGAATAGGTGATTTCAGTGAATCATTAGTAAGTGTATTATTTCATGAAATTTTCCAGGAAAAGTATTTTCTTTTAGGATAAGTATATTTCATAGAACTTTTCAGTTATATTTGTGTGTGATATAAAATGTATTTCTTCATGTCCTCATGTAGGTGGGGTCACAAAAGTTTGGGGTCACAAAAGTTTGAAGGACATTCTGAAACAAAGCATTTAATTCAGTTGGAGGTAACAGTCTTTGACATGCAGAGACCTGGGAAGAGAGTTAAGACATTGGTATGAAGGGATTTCTAAGTGTAAATGGGTGATGGGAGATAATTTCCTGATTTTATCAAGATGGAGACCTTGGCTATCTGTGAAGGGGATTATGGCAGTGAGGAAAGATAGTAAAAGGGGGAGACCATCAGGCACTCAGGGAGCCGGGTCCCATTTCATTCTGCACTTCTCAGATAAGCAAGCCTGTGTGAGTGAAATTATTAGATAAATACTTTGACCCTGCAGAAGCCAGAGGCATTGAAGAATACAGGCTCATTCTCCCCTGCTTCCAGGACTGGGCCACTTCTGGGTGGGGCAGTGGGTTCCAGCTCAGCTCACACTGAGAATATAAGAACTACAAACATTTCTATTAAGAATATGGCTCAGGGGCGCCTGGGTGTCTCTGTTGGTTAAGCGACTGCCTTCGGCTCAGGTCATGATCCTGGAGTCCCGGGATCGAGTCCCACATCAGGCTCCCTGCTCAGCGGGGGGTCTGCTTCTCCCTCTGACCCTCTTCCCTCTTGTGCTCTCTCTCATTCTCTCTCTCAAATAAATAAATAAAATCTTTAAAAAAAAAAAAAAGAATATGGCTCAGCATTGCACCTAACATATCCAGGTATCAGCAAGGCTGACCTATCCAGTTGGTACAGTGGCTGGGGCCCATGAGCTTTCCGGGGGCCCCAAAATGTTTTAGTTTCTTTTGAAATAATAATAGAAAAAAACATATAATCCAGCTTTCATTGCATTCATGTTTGTATCAATGCAGTTGCAAAATGTAATTGTTAATACTTTTTTACTTTTTATGGAGTAAGGGACCCGTGAAGGCAAAAGTCTCTGGAGCCATGAAAGTCATACGCGGTTCTGAGTATCAGGATATCAGAATCATTTGAGGTGCTTGCTGAAAATGCTCATTTCTAGGCACCCCTCTAGAGCTACAGAACCTGACTCCTTTAGGATGGGCCAGAACTTGCTAGCTCAGCAAACAGCTAAAGTGATTCAAATACCAAAAATGTTTAAGAATCTCTGACCCTAGAGGAAACCCCCAAGACCCATCACAGTCTTGAAGTGGGCTTGGTTTAGCAGGAGCTTCCTGTTGGAGTCAATTTGCCCTTCAAATTTACTAAACTAAACCTGTACTGTGCCCTTACTGTAATTTTGAGCTGAATACTATTAACACTCTGGAGGCCCCTGATGCTCTCCTGTTTAGTTGTAATCTTTTATCAGCAGTGGCCTGTTTTTATCATCAAGCTCTCCTGTATGTAGATGCCCTTAAGGATAAAGAGGTTTACCACCAAATGTATTTTCCAAGTATTTTATTCAAAAAGGAGGTAAGTGACATATATTTCTTTAGACTGAGGATAACTATAACATTTACTGACTGGATCATTACACTTTGGTGCAATACACCCTGATATTCAGCTTTGCCCTGAGTTAACCAAACCACTGGAGAACAAGAGCAAATCAGAGAGCAGGTCTCTCCCTTTTATTTCTTACGTTCATTGTCAAGTCTGAGCTCAGAGGCCAGTGGCTGGGAAGCCACTCCCAAGCAATAAGGGGTCTTTGCCAATCCATTTAAAAAACAAACAGCAACAGTGGCGCCTGGGTGGCTCAGTCAGGTAAGCGTCTGACTCTTGATTTCAGCTCAGGTCATAATCTTCCGATCTTGGGATGGAGCCCTGCAACAGGCTCCCCACTCAGCGGAGAGTCAGCGTGAGATTCTCTCCCTCCACCTCTCCCCCTTCTCTCTCTCTCTCTCTCAAAAGAATAAATCTTAAAAAAAAAAACAAACAGCAAGAGCAAGAAAAAAATTTCAGGATGTCTGTTAATGAAGCGGAACTGTGGCCCCCTCAACCTCCTGTGCTTGAAGCAAGTAGTTCACAGCAGCCAAGGAAGAACGCCTTTAACCTCCTCTCGACACCCCCTAGTGTTCAAGTGCACCATCTGCACTGGGCATCTGCTCTAGCCTCTTGGCCTACAGAGCTCCAAATGAAGAGACTCTAATGGAAACCAAAGCCAGAAGGAAAAAGCCAAGGAAATACGACGGTCATTCATAGACTACCTGGGATGTTCCTGAAATGGCAACATTAGTCTAGTGGCCATGCTCTGTGGTGGGAAGAGCAAAGGACTTGGTGACACAGGAATCAGGATTGGGTTTTGGTCTCTGAGGGCTACTACCTAGGTGACCCCAGGCAAGGAAGCTTCTTGCACTCTGAGCGTCAGTTTCCTCAACTTTATTACTTATTTTTTTTAAAGATTATATTTATTTATTTGACAGAAAGAGAGTGCGCACAAGCAGCAGAGGGAGGCGAAGCAGGCTCCACTGAGCAGGGAGCCCGACACAAGGCTCAATTCCAGGACCCTGGGATCATGACCTGAGCTAAAGGCAGACGCTTAACAGACTGAGCCACCCAGATGCCCAAGTTTCCTCACCTTTTTTTTTTTTTTTGATTTTATTTATTTATTTGACAGAGAGAGAGACAGTAAGAGAGGGAACACAAGCAGGGGGAGCGGGAGCGGGAGAGGGAGAAGCAGGCTTCCCTCCAAGCAGGGAGCCCGATGCGGGGCTCGATCCCAGGACCCTGGGATCATGACCCGAGCCAAAGGCAGACGCTTAACCGACTGAGCCACCGAGGCGCCCCAAGTTTCCTCACCTTTAAAATGGGGATATGATTCTTACCTGACAGGGTTGTTTGGAGGAATAAAATAAATATGTGAAAGCACCTATTATATTACCTGGTACAATCTAGGCACTCAATAAATCGTGTCTGAAATTTATCTGGGGAAAATTTTTCAAAAAACCAACACTTTACTATAACAGACACTGAGCTAGCAAATTAGCAATATGGCTGCTTAATTCCTTTGGTTTATTTATGCACAAGTCTTTAAAATCACCAAAAGCTAGACTGCCAAGGAAAATAATGCTATTTAATAACATTAGAATTCACTTAATCTTAACATAGTAAAGGGTTTCACCCTGGAAGTATACCACTGTTGTCACTGGGCAGAACTAAGACCAACAGAAGTTAGATGAAGGCAGATTTGGGGTCAACATAGAAAAGGACCAGTGGAGCCAGGACTGCTGTGCTGCACAAGTCCATGGGACCCAATTCCCATGGGCCACAAGCTAGACCACAGCCCGTGAACTGTGCAGGGCACAGAACCCTGACTGGAGCTGTCCCACATTGTCATGGTTCAGTTCGTGAAGAACAGAGTTCCCTGTCACGGAATCTGTTCAATTTAAGGCAAAGTGGCACGTCAAGAATATTAAAGAGATGGCTCCTACTTTGAGTCAGAGTCTGACTAGGCTTTTTCCTTCTTAGTTGGTTTATGGAATGTTTCTGGAGCATCTATTTACATCAGGCATAGACCTTAGGCCAGGGATTAAAAAAAAGAGAGAGACACCATCCCCGGCTGCAGGGAAATCAGCAGTCCTACCCACTCAGTAATACTGTGCTCCTTATGGGAGTATGGCGT